TTTAAAAAAAACTCAAATTAGTTCATAAACTTACACATTGACTACTCGGACATTTAAAATAAAACTACTTGTGATATGTATAAATTGTATTTTTAATACTACGTGTAGTTTAACAAATCTGGTAAAATGTAAAATATATTTTAAATTTTTGGGGTTTGAAAATTCGATCTAATTTAGCAAAAAACATTCAATATCTACTAATATGATGTATTATTAATTTGATTCACAAATTTATTTATATTTACTAATGTTTACTGGCAATTATAAAATAATAAAACTTTTTTTTTTTTTTTTTCACATATTTTTTTTAAATTAAATGTATTGCTTACACTTACAAAACTATTCGTACATTGAACGTATGGAGTACGATTTGCAGTATATTGTAAAGCATTTGCTGCATTTGTATGGTTCATAGTTTATTCGCCAAAGTATTTTATTAATATAGAATAGGGTAAGTTATTGTATTTATAACTGTATATTGATGTATATTTTCATGTAAACTATGATAATTTTTAAAAATACAACTACAACAAATCTGAGGAATATTATGTTTTCCATGTATTCTACAGAATAGTGTATAAATCCGTTATATCTAACTAGTGTGACGTCATACATCTCGTTCCTAGGCTGTTCTATTAGAGACGGCATTGGGTCAGCATGGCCGCAAGTTGCTAACCTATAAAATTAACACTAGAAAAAGCCCGGCGGGAACTGTCAAATTCGAAGTTATTCGTTTTACAGACTATAACAAGGGAGGGGATCCATTGCATAACTTTGGTAAACACTAACTGATAACCAAAAAATGGCGTCAATGTAGGTGGCCCAGTTTAATTGTTTCCTTCTGCACTATTTTAAACGCGTTTAGTCGAACCTCCTAATAAAAAGGCAATACAGTAGGATAACCACTGAAGGAGAAATTAAAGCTCGGCTGCTTTTAAAACTATGTGCCACTTGAACCCTATTCCCATTTAAGATTGCAGGGGTTGAGAGAAAAAGGCCAAAAAGAGTAGTATCAGTTTAAATGTGTGCCCCTTACTAATATAAATGACGTGTATTTTCCCGATTTTATGTGTGTATGATTTTTTGTACACTCTCAAGAATAAGATATTAAGGGTGGGAAAATTTTAAAATTGACACACTGTATATTAATAAATAAAATATGTTATTTGAGCGGGTTGCCTGTTATTCCACCCCTGGCCGTACGATATGACGTTGCGTCTAGACCACGCTTAAAACATAGGTTTAGTTACCAGACCATGAACATCTTGTATTAAGATTTAAGTAAATTTAAATATTGAATCGCCGTTATCGTTTTCTATAAATACTGATACTTTGTGAGTACATTATATTGATGTAAGTGCTAGACTGAGATAATTTGGTTAATAGTTGAATCATATTTTAAAATGTCTCTGGACCGTTTTGTTGGTGAAGTTGCTGTTGTGACCGGAGCTTCTGCTGGTATAGGAAAGTCTACTGTAGAAAAAATTAGTTACAAAATTAATTTAACAAAAAAAAAATCTAGAAAAAAAAAATTGCGCCGGAAGGCACGTATAACCGCCCATAATTGATATTTTTTATATTTAAAATATGTTTATTAAAAAGGTTGTAGGACAGTTCTTCCTGTCAGTTTCAAAGTAAAGGAGGAATTTTTCCAATTTTGTTGTAAATATTATTCTAGATCTTAAATTGAAACCGCGTTTTTCGCTAAAGCTACTCGTAAATCTGTATAGGCAGGTTATCGATTTTTTTAAATTTTGAACCAACCCCTCAATCATACGTACCAGTCCCTTACCAATCTCCCACCCCCACCAAAAACTAATGGCCAGATTCTCGGGTGCCACAGTATTTTTGTGCCAAATTTGGTTAAAATCGGTTTAGCGGTTTTTGAGTAATCGTGTTACAGACGGACAGACGGACAGACAGAAACTTTTTTTTTGCCGATCTTAAGTAATTAATAAAATAGAGTAATTTTAAAATTTTCGTATTTGATTGATAAAATTATTTGATCCCCCTGTATCTTTTGTTGTAAGAGACATTTTTTACGTAGAAAATCACGGAAATTAATATTCTTTTACTCAGTAGTTTTGTACAGGCACGGACAAAAGTTATTATTTCACAACTTCAAAACCCCAAGTAGAATTTTCACGACTTGCGACCACATGTTTACTAAACACAACGTTGAATTAGTTACAAAAAATAGTTAGCTCCCTACCTTCGGTATTAAAATAAATTTAAATGTTTTAATAAACGTTGTCCGACGTTGACTAGTACTACAGCAAAATAGAAGCTTCTGCGACGTCGAATAAACGTTGTCTTGTAAACTTTTTTGCTTAAGTGATCTTTAGTGATTCGGACAACGTAGATACAACGTTGGACAATATAGTGTTTTCCGACGTCAGTTTTAGAACCTATTCCAACGTTATGCAAACGTCGTTTGTTTTACTAATTCCATCGTTGTTTAGATTTCCCTTAATTCTTTACGTTGTAGGACGTCCGAGTACTACCTTTTTAGCAAACTGTATTGAACCATATACCTTAAATCGTTAAATTTTCAACTTCATTGTTCTGTTCAATCAGACAGTTCAGTGCTGTTTTTGTTTTTATAAAAAAACTTATTAAAATGGGACATAAGAACAGTGTACATATAACTAATTTCTAATATACATCGACATATATTACCGATAATTTATCCACTCCCTCGTTTATTTAGATATAGAGGGCGGCACAACTACGAATCTAGGGTGACTAAATTAGGCAATCTTAAGACTAGTATACTACCTGTTAAGGCCGTACTGCGACTTTATTAGTCAGTATGCGACTACTCGAACAACTCCATCTTAATCTCCAAAATAACATAAATATGAAAGCCGCCATTTTGTTAAATAAGAAAAATGTTTCCGTTTCCTAATTACAATTCCTGCTTTTTGAATTAACTTGAAATATTTGATCCTAAAAAAACACGCGGAAACAAATTTTTTTCGACTGCGAATAAAATTATTCTCATTTTACTAAAAAAAAAATTCAAGAAAATTTTTAAAAACTTACTCTTTAATTTAAGGGCCCATCTAGTATTTTCAAAAAGTACGAAACGCATTTACATGTGTTAGTACGAGAGATTGTATTGTCGTTTAACTTTTATTGTGCCATTGGGTAGATTGATTACAGGAGTGGTTAAAGTATACTCAAATAAATTCTGCATCTTCCAAACATCAATCCACCTTAAATACTTTTTGTTTTGTTTTCTTTCAAACTCCCCATCATAGCACATATTGTCTCTAACTAAATCATGAAAATAATATTTATAATCTATAATTATTCATTCTAAGAATAAGCACCGCGACTTAGACGCCACAATAGTATTTTGTAATCTGTGAAATTACGGGATTTTAAAGACATTATAGAATTCTCAGCAGTTTTGGTAACTAGATTTTAGGGCTTTTCTAGCCAGACGAGCTCGGGTATCTCAACGTTCGTTCTCGACCAAAAATTATTCTCCAAACTAGTGGAGACTAGGGTTGGCACGAAGTTGTGCCGACGTTGCGCCCCGACGTTTGTCGCGTGACACAACGTTATCCCGACGTCCAAATGTCTGCTTGGACAGTGTAACCACATGATGTAGGATGCAGCCCGGCATCCCCTAAAATAAAGAGATGAGTTGACAGCTCAAAATCAAATTTCTCGTAATCAAAGAACTCCCAGAGACGACAATGTTATTCAATAGAAAATAGTTGGTGTGCATAGCTCTGGAGAATTGTTAGAAATGATTTGGACAAATCAAAATAAAAATGAAACTTCTACACCCTGTATCTCCGGAACTAAGCATTTTAGAACATACGTTTATACGACCTTTTTTATTTATTTTTATCTGCAGAATATGTTGCCGAAGTTTCCGGAATACACTTCTGACCACCCTGTATATCTCATAATTTATGAATTATTGCTAGTCAAAATTCTTTAATAAAAAAAAAAAAAAAAAACAAGAAAAAAAATTGAAATTTTTTTTTTTTTTTTTTTTTTTTTTTTTTTGAGAGAAAAAATAAGAAAACTAAAAAAAAAAAAAAAAAAATTTAAATTAAAAATTATCTATAACTCAGTAATTTAAAAAAAAAAAAAAAATATTTAGGAAAATTTTTGTATAAAAAAAAAAAATATTTTGAAAATTATCTGCGAGTCCGAAGACGCGTGGATAAATTTTTCCTAAAATATTCGTGCCGGAAAGAAAATTTCCAGGAATAATTTGAGCTTGCGTGGTATCTCGGTAAGAAAATTTCACACCTAATTTTGAAAAAAAAATATTAGATTTTTTTTTTTTTTTTTTTAATTAATTTCAATTTGTTAAGTTGGCCAAGCGTACTTGTTTTTTTGACATGATTTATGTGGTTTTCGTCATTTTTGTTTGCGATTCTGTCATTAAGCTATAACTAGTTTTAAAACGTCTGTTCGTAGAGTAAGAAGTGTATAGCGAAATGTAGCGATTTGGAAAAGTAAACCAACAAGTCATAAAGAAGAATTGAAAATATAAAACCAGATAACACCTGAAAATCAAAATCAAGTGAATATCCATCATAATTTCGTTATAATAGAAAAATCAGCCAGCTTAGTTAAATAAAGGCGGCGGAACTATATTTTTTAGAACATGGAATTTCGAAGAAATTCATATGTAGGTATAACATCTACATTTTCCTTAAAATAAAAATATTACCGGAACCTTAGTTACAAATGCAAATGCTAAAACTCAGATGGGTAATATTTCAATATACATATGGGCACATTGTAGTTCATACCATCCATTATGATTGTAGATCTTATGTTTATCTTTTCAACTGTCAAAAATTTTCCACTAAAGTTTCGTGGCGACCTCGAAAAAATTCTCCGGAAAAATTTTTTCAAAGTTGCCATTGAGACGTAACTAGATGCAACCATTAAAGCATTGTTATTGGGATTGAACAAGTAAGGGTGTGAAAATTTGAGTCTCGTTAGTGATGATATCTTATTAATAGGTTGCAGGTATTTCTAGAAGAGTGGAAAGAGTACAAGAACACGCAAACCAACTTAAGAACGGAAATGGATCTCTACACCCTTTCAAATGCGACTTGACCAAAGACAAGGAAATTTTGGATACGTTTAAAAAAATAATTGAAACTTTAGGCCCAATTCACATATTGGTAAATAATGCCGGAGTAGCACCCGCCACTGCGCTTATAGATGGAGATATCAAGAGATGGAGACAGATAATAGGTAAAGCTAATAGTGCAAGAGCTAGCAACGTTTTCGAGAAAGTATTTTAAGACGTTTGACTCTTTGATATATCTTTTACTATGCTCTCTGGAACAGCATGCGGCCCGTCTGGCTGCCGATACCCGTTGCGTTCACTACTGCGCATCGGAAGAAGAACATATATTTTTTATTAATTTAGTCCTGTAAATTCTAGTATTGAATATAAATCGAACATGTCGATTCTTATTATTATATTCTGATATTAAAGAATTAAAAAAATCTGGTGATCCAAAAAAAAAAAAATATTTAATACTTTAAACGAAAATAAAATAAAAAAGTCTTTGCCCTGACCCGGATTCGAACTCTGAATCATCGGTTCGTGGTGGGAAACTCTACGCACTGCGTTATCGAGACATGTTCGAATTATATTCAATACTAGAATTTAAAGGACTAATAAAAATATAGGATTCTTTCAATGCGCTGTAGGGGACGCAACGTTTACCGGCAGCCAGACGGACCGCATGCTGTTCTAGAGAGCATAGTAAAAGACATATCAAAGAGCCAGACGTCTTAAAATACTTGTTTTTCCGACGTTGCTAGCTCTCATACTATAAAGTAAGGTAACCGCAAAAAAAATTCCGATGCACGTCATCAACTTTGAGTGACAAGCGATGGCGACGGCGCTGCCAGATTGTGATGGGGAAAATTGGGAAAACTAATAATCACAAAATTTAATAAAACTAAGGTACAAATAACTTTGAAAGTGATATAATGTTATTATCAATTAAACTTACTTTTCTGACTGCAGTCAAGGATAATAAAGGACATTTATTTTCCCGTTCTCGTTCAAAATAGTTTATCAGGGAAGCTACAAGCCCTTTGCTTCGACTGTTTAAATTCTTCGGCATATTTTCAACACACAATTTCAAGAAATGCAATACAAAAACTTGAAAATTTAGTTCTCAAAAGAACTGTTTTTGCTTAAAAGTACAATTTTTAAAAAAGACTCTGAAAAGATGCAAAAAAAAACAGAAATACTGACAAAGATTCAACAACAACACGATATTACACAAAGTAATGACTGACATTATGATAATTGTCCAATAATAAACGACATATTTATGTTTGGCTTAACCAAGACGATATAATACCGGGTGTGTCTCAAAAGTGGCTCACCCCTATAACTTTTTTTAAATTTTCAGTTAAAATAACGAGATTTGGTATGTTAGTGTATGGCATAAATTAGGATTGATTGAGGTATTCAATTGTTTTCGGTCACTTCCTGTTTCACCGGAAATGACTATAACTTTTGATTTTTAAATGGCACCCTCGGTATTTTTTTACTTTATTCGATATAGAATAACACTCTGAATAGAATAACATATCATACGTCAACTTTTGACATTTTCGCATATGGTTTATTTGAAATTATAACTTGCGGTTCGTAACGAAAATTCGACTCGAAATACCAAGTGTGTGGTAACAAATTATTGGTAAAAAAATACTTTTTCCAAATATGTTAATGAGCCACCCTCATCCCATTTGAAAAAATTGAAATATGATTAAAAATTTTCTAACTGGCCACTGGCCATGACAAGACACTAAAAACATTAGACGATCAAATCTATTTTTCCAAGGCTCCTTGATTAAGGATTAGTGTTTTTAACATAACCATGGCGCTCTAGATTGAATTTTAAATTACATTTTTTATTTAGCATTTAGCATACAATTTTTTATTAAGCGAAACTGTCAAAAGTTGACATACGATATGTCATTCTATTCAAAATGTCATTTTCTATCGAATAAAGTGAAAAAATACCGAGGGTGCCATTTAAAAATCAAAAGTTGTAGGCATTTCCGATGAAACAGGAAGTGACCAAAAACAATTGAATACATCAATAAATTCTAATTTATGTCATACACTAACATACCAAATGTCGTATTTTTATCTGAAAAAATAAAAAAGTTTTAATGGTGAGGTTTATAACTTTTGAGACGCACCCGGTATAATAATTCAGGAAGAAGTAAATATCTATTTTTTACTGTAATTTTCTGTGATTTGTTTATTCAAGTAAAAATTCTTATTTTATTGTTATTCTTTTGCAGACACAAACGTCATAGGCTTAAGCATATGCACAAGAGAAGCAATAGCCAATATGAAAGCAAATAACACCAAAGGACATATAGTGCACGTGAACAGTGTGCTGGGTCACGAAATAGGTGAATTTCCATACTTATCCGTGTATCCAGGATCCAAACATGCCGTCACCGCATTGACTGAATGTCTCAGAAGAGAAATCAACAGAAACAATCTACCCATAAAAATCACGGTCAGTTTTTTGGTTTTTAATTTGTGCTGTTAACGATTTTCTTAGTATTTGTAGTATATAATTTTTCGACACAAATTTTCTGGAAATGGAAACACCCTTTTCTATAGGAGATAGACGAAAACTAATATCGGTGTCTGGAGCTCAATTTTCATCAAAAACATTATGGTGAAAACCGCACATCAATATCTGTTACCGTTTCGGAGTTACGGAGTGTTTTTCAAAAATGTGCATTTTTAACAAATCGCTGTAACTTTTTTGCTATGGAAAATTTTGTATTTCTATGAAGACATATCCAAAGCACCTTTTTACGTAGAATTTAACGGTTTAAGTATAATTTTTTTAAAATTAATAATTTAAGAGTTATCAACAGAAAAATTGATTTTTTATTTGGGACACCCCATATATTTTTAATTAACTGAAGAGAATTTAAAATTACCTTTCCAAAAATATAGCACACTTGATATTTTGTTATAATCCCCTTCGAAATACAGAATTTTTGAAAGCTCGTACACTTTTAACTAGTAGGCTTTGGACCCCTTATTGATGATATGCCTTTAATGGAACTCGAAAACATATTTGTCCAGCAAGACGACGCACCGCCTCTGAACGCTGAAGTTATCAGCAAATTTTTGCAGCCAATTTCAAGAATAATTGAATAGCTAACCAAGACGAGCCGTTGACCAAGGCTGAGCCGTTGGCCGTTGGCCTGACTTACCCAAGGATCTAATCCTATGGATATATTTGCGGAAGAATAAAGGTTCCTTATTCTCCCGTATAATCTAGACAAGAATTAAAAATACTTAGCAGTTATGAGAGGGTATCTTTCACTCCCTCTGAGTTTTTTTCACTCCCGTCTGTCCATAACAGAAGACGGTCGATATGTCAAACACCTGTAGCAAAATCTCATGTTTTGGTTTCCTACTTATTTTTATTGTTATTAAATATAGTTTAAATGTGTTGATGTTGGTTAAGTATATTTTAAATTGTTATAAAATTCTGCATCTCTCATAGCAAATATTATTTTCGTTTTAATTGATGCCCACAGCTAGAATATTTTTGCATTACAGCCGGTGCCGTTTAAAGCCTACTTATTTAAAGCCGGCGAATTTTTATATACTCTATATCTCGAAGAAGAATCGAGCAAAATATCAAGTGTGTTATATTTTTTGAAAGGTAATTTTAAATTCTTTTCAATAAAGTAAAAATATACGGGGTGTTCCATATAAAAAATCAAATTTTCTGTTGACAATTCTTGAATTATTAATTTTAAAAAAATTATACTTAAACCATTAAATTCTATGCGGTTTTCACCATCTTGTTTCTGATAAAAATTGAGCTCCAGGCACCGTTATTAGTTTTTGTCTATCGCCTACAGAAAAGGGTGTTTCCATTTAAAAGCGTCGAATTTGATCCACCCTGTACAATTCGACATAACCTAAATTAATTAGATTAGTTAGATTGACTTCTTTGTATTAAGGCTATATTTGATCTACTAGCGCATCCCCAGAGTTCTGTTCCATATGAACAAATAGGTATTATTAAGGTTATATGTAGAAAAGAAGTTTATCTACGTCAGTGAGTTAAGAGCTTCTTAACTCACGCATTTTCATTACCGCACTTGTTTAGATGACTACCTCGATGACTACCAAAGAGAAAAAAATATTTTGTAAAACATTGATTTTGCACTAAACTGGAAAAATATGTTATGAGTACCTTTTCATTTCCATAGTTGTGTACTTTTTTTCGGTGCACCATTTTTCATACTTAGAGCACAGAATATCTAGCTACGCAACAGAAAAATACTCGAAATGAAAGAGCTAAAATTGCACAAATAGAATGCTAGATGGCGCGACAATATCATAATCAGAATATAATTAGAAATTTTGAACTTTCGGTTTTGGATCGACGGCTCGTCGACGGCCTTGTAGCTCGTCTAAATATGCACAGTTGCCAGATTCAAAAAGACTTGAATTGGCATCCCATTCTTTTTATTGTGTATAATGCAGTATGTGTTTATTTCTATTCTTCTTTTCTTATCAGATACACTTATATTAATTATTCTTTTGGCTATTAAAATAGTTTTAAGTATATTATTACAAAACATATACATTTTTAATATACACTACCTTATAATGTTAACTAAGAAAATACCTTTAATTACCATTAAAATTAATAATATACAGGGCAATTGATAGTGATATTTATTAATGCTGGAACGTTAGTAATGAAATTTAAGTTTAATAATAATGGAAATAATTTATTAAAATGCAGTACAAAAAATGTTAACTGACTAAAAAATACTATAATAACAAATTTCTTCCGTTTGTCACGTTATTTATATAGACCTAGGTAGATTTTAAAAAGTGACACAGGTACAATTAATAATATATTAGTTCGGCATAAAAGTTGCTGTCACGACATGACGACATCGAACAATAAATTAAAATTCCTAAAATATATTAAAATTATTAATTAAACAGATCTTTATAAAGAAACGCAAGTATACCAAATTTGGGCCCAATTGAACTCCAGGAAATGATATCATAATAGTGTACTATATTATGGTACCACTCGATATGCTTTAAGGTACCATAATATTGCAATGTCATCGAAGATCCGTAGTATACCAAATTTAAGAACAATCGAACGCCATGAAATGGTATCGTAATATGGTACTATATTAAGGTACCACTTTATATACATCATAGTACAATCATATTACAATGTAACCGAAGATACGTAGTATACCAAGTTTGAGCCCAATCGAATGCCAGGAAATGGTATCGTAATATGGTACTATATTAAGGTACCACTTTATATGCATCAAAGGACCATCATATTACAATGTCGCCGAAAATACGTAGTATCCCAAGTTTAAGCCCAATCGAACGCCATGTACGTAATATAGTACTATATTATGGTACCAGTTGATATGCTTCATGGTACCATAATAATGCAATGTCATCAAAAATACGCAAGTATATGTCAAATATGAGCTCAATCGAACGCCAGGAAATGGTATTGAAATATGGTACTACATTAAGGTACCACTTTATATGCATCATAGTACCATCATATTACAATGTAACCGAAGATACGTAGTATACCAAGTTTAAGCCCAATCGAACGCCAGGAAATGATATCGTAATATGGTACTATATTATGGTACCTCTTATTATGCTCCATGGTACCATAATATTACAATATCACCGAAGATACGTAGTATCCCAAATTTAAGCCCAATCGAACGCCATGTACATAATATGGTACTATATTATAGTACCTATAGTACCTATATACATATACCAAGTTTAAGCCCTATTGCCGCTATGTACCTAATATTGCTATGTCATCAAATATGGTACTATAGAAGGTACCACTTTATATGCTCCATGGTACCATGATATTACAATGTCACTGAAGATATAGTATACCAAGTTTAAACCCAATCGAACGCCATGTATCGTAATATGGTACTATATTATGGTATCACTTGATATATGCTTCATGGTACCATAATATTGTAATGTCATGAAAAATAGTATATATCAAATACCGTATTATACCGAAAAAAACGGCGTCCAGTTGGCTGAAAAAGGACGATCGATGACATTTCCCATGTAAATTTACATATAAAATGGCAGCGATATTCATTTCATAGCCATCGCTAACGCCGTTTTTTCCCGATTATACGATATGAACTTGGTATGAACACAATCGAACGTCAGGAAGTGTTCTCATAATAGTAGAGCAATACTTATTATATTGTCGCCGAATTACAATGAAAATTCAGGATTCAATTATACAATCAAACGTCAGGAAGTGATTGTAATTTAGCTCATATGATTTAATTCCAACTAACATGGCAAACTGAAAAAATCAGCTCTGATCTATTTTAATATGTTTAAATGATGTAGCAAATTTGAAGGTACGCTTTATCAGGAAGTATTACGATATGAATTACACAATGGCAACACTGCACAAAATTCTTTTAAATTTTGTTTGTAGAAAACTGTTTTTTTTTTAAATTTATTGCCCTCTATTATGTAGTAGCGAAACTACCACATCAAAATATCTGATTTGGAGACAGGCTTTAAAAGCCTGTAGGTATGATTTTAGAGCTTTGCGAAATGCGGGAAAGAATGAAAGCGATTTGATATTCAAAGGCAGATGATTGTACATTTTTTTAGCATTGTACAGTACTGAACCTTTAACTAGTTCTAAGCTCGGGGTTGGCAGATAAAGATCGTGCTCCGCATTCCTAAGTGGATAGATATGAGATGGCCTTTCGGGAATAGCAGATATGTGCTTGCGGATTAAGCAAACGGATTCAAAAATGAATAAAGAAGGAAGAGTCAGTATTTTGAAATTTTCAAAGAAATTCAGGCAGTGAGTTCTACTGTTCAGTCCCAATAAATATCGAACTGCTCTCTAGCTAGCTGTTGTTCGCATACCATAGTATCTTTCAATATTCACCCTAACTTTCTTGGTATTTTTTGGTTGAGCACCATTTTTTAGTCATTGGATTTGAGTTGTATAATTCAAATTATTTATGGTATTTCAAAATTTCTTTTTGATAATTTTCATGATTTTTAGAGTGTAAGTCCTGGAGGTGTAAGTACCGAATTTGCAGAGGTAAATCTTGGTGCTGAAGGTGTCAAAAGGTTTGAAAATGTACCTTTGTTATCTGCCGATGATGTTGCTGATACTATTGTCTATGTTTTATCCACACCGGAACACGTTAATGTAAGTGATCAAAAGTTGACTTGATACTACATAATGTAAAACATTTTCTATATTTTTCTACAATATATTAAACACCTTTCACTAGTAGCAGAATACTAAAAATTATAATAAACAAAATATATTTAGTTTTATTATTCTCACTTAGTATCTACTTAAAAGTTAAATAAAAATATGACATTTTGATTTTCAGATTAGAGAACTGACTGTAAACATTCAAGGACAATTATACTAAAGATGGCTGCACTAAATACAAATAGTTAAGCAACTCTAATTTAATAAATATTTTTTAAGGATATCAATTTATTTTTTTTTCTTTAAAATTTTCATTTACATTAACAATAAAAATTGGCAGAATTGAAATATTATACTCAATTGCTTTTTTAAATTTCTACAAAAGATCAAGAATTACATAAAAGTATTGGGGTTATTGTAAAAAATTTGCCACGCCCTTTCTAATTTGAAGTTCAATAAAACATAAAGTTTACTTAATTAGGGTGAGTTGCATAGAGGCCAATAGCTTTTTAATTTTAACAGCCGGGTGGTCGGGGTTCAAAGATATTAATAAAAGGGCGCCACGAGATTATACTCTATGAACTCGGCATAAAAGATGTTACTATTAAGTAGACTTCAACACTAACCTCGAACTGTTGAGTGTAACTACCATGAAACAAAACCGCGATAGTGCCATTCACCAGAAGGCGAAGTCTGAAAAACTTGAAAAGAATCCAACTAGATGGAAAGGAAATACTGCCAACACAAGAAGTTAAATACCTGGGAATAACCCTGGACAGTAAACTCCTGTGGAACAGGCATACGTACACCTGTGGAACAGGCATAAGAACACTACCAGCAAAGCCATAAAGGCTCTCATGATATGCAGAAGACTGGCCGGAAATAGATGGGGCTGCTCCCCTAACATTTTGCGCTGGATGTATACCATGATAGTAAGACCCATGATTACTTATGGAACAGTTGCCTGGTACACAAAACTAGAGCAACGGACGGCAAGGCTAAACCTATGCAAAGTCCAGAGACTAGCATGCGTTTGCATCACAGGAGCCATGAGAACCTGTCCAACAGCAGCAGTAGAGGTCATTCTAGATCTAACACCACTGCACATTGTCATTGGTAGATATGCCAATGCAACAATGATTAGAATGGTCACTAACGTAATTAGTACTGGGAGAATTGTCAGATCAGGGGCTTGGAACACCCTCAAAAAGGAAATACCACTCCTGCAACTCCCAGTGGACGACATGCCAAGAACGTACAACTTTGAGAAACATCTCAATGTAGTATTGAGCAATAAAAAGGATTGGAAGAGCGAAACGCTTGCCCAGCAGTTAAAAGACCATACCATAACTTGGTATACTGATGCTTCCAAAACCAATACGGGAACATGGATCGGAGTGTTTGGGCCAAGAGCTAAATACTCCGAACCAATGGGCACTTACCCTAATATCCTACAGGCAGAAATCTACGCTATCGAAAGATGCGTACAACTTATCTTAGATATGAACTATCGGAAACAAGAAATGGCCGTCTTGTCTGATAGTCAAGCAGCGTTAAAAGCGATCAACTCAGTATCAATCAATTCGAAATTGGTCAAAGAATGCATAGAGAAGCTGAATAAATTAGGCAAAGAAAACAAAGTCCTCCTACTCTGGGTGCCTGCTCACCAAGGGATAGAAGGCAATGAAAAAGCAAATAATCTACTAACTGGACCACTAACTGGACCAGAACCGTTCTGCTTTCCAAGTGGTAACCAACTCAAGGCGGAACTCAAGAACTTGGAAGATTCCATCCGCAACCTGGAATGGAAATCTTGCAATGGTCTAGGACACTCGAAGAAGTTTCTGAGGGCTTATGATCAAGAAAATCACAGATCTTCCTGGGTCGAGTAAGAACAATCTTCGGATTGTCACGGGGTTTTTAACAGGACACTGTCTCATCAATGAACACCTCAGTAGATTGAAACTAAGAAGAAACGGCGAATGCAGATTCTGTGGGGAAGATGGTGAAACACCAGTACACCTCATCACTGAGTGCGCCGAGACGACAACCATTCGTGCCATGAATTTTGGTACGACTGATATTGGAGATGGAGAACTACCCTCTATAAAACCGTCCCAGATACTGGCTTTTGTCAAAGCCCTGGGACTGTATGATGAGTTATGATTCAAGAAAGGGGGACACAATGGATCTGTAAGGTCGAAGTGATTAACCCCCCTCCCACTCATTCTAAATTCTAAATTCTAACTACCATGAACTTCAAATATACTGTAATTATTTGAACTTAAGTGACTCTAACTTAACTATGAAACTAGACTGTAAATAATACTAATAAAAATATTTAAGCAATTTATTAAAATATCAAAAAGTTTATATTTAAAGAAATGAAATTGAAGTTAAATGAAATGTAAAGTTAAATGAAATTTAAATTAATAAGTACTAAACCTATGACGTCAAACCCCCTTATCTAACTTAATACTAGATACAAACAGGGTGGTTTACATAAAGCAAATCTAAATCTAAACACTCTAATCGATGTACAATCTTGAAACAACTCGGAAGTGCCTCCGGCTGAGCTACGGTGTATAGTTACAGGGTGGCTATGGCGGTGCACAGCAGCTCGGTGTACTGTCACTGGAGCCCACGGATTTCAGCAGACGTCCGGATGCCGGCCAGGTGTAGGACTTCAAAAGGTGAACATAAAAAACCCTAAATAATATTGGTTGTCTTAGAAAAGAGCCTCAATTATAGAACAAGGACTAGCACAACGTGTAGGAGTTAATAAAGGTAATAAAGAAGGACTAATCAAATCTGAACTTTACCTCAACGAGAGTTTATGATGTCCATCGGGTAACTCTACACACGGGCAACAGGAACGGATGGAATTCTGGACTGTTCTTGTGCTACGGTCTGGATCGGTCTTCTTGCTCTACAATTACGAACAACCAAATAAGATTTAAGAAAGATAACACTCAACTAATCTTTCTACACCACGTGGGCGTGGAAAAGTCGAAAACCAGACAACAATATGAACAAAAATCAGTTGAGCATTGACTTAGAATAGGCAGAAGAATTATAGCATACCTTGGAACTGTTCGGGGACTTCTTGGGCACGTGGAATCGGAATATCGGTCGGAACATTTGGCTATTTTAATCCCATTGCGGAAATTGGTCGGCGACCCATACAAATCAACAAAATCCAACCACGTCTCTGGCCAAAGGTGTTTCGGAAGCCTTAATCCTTCTTTACGAAGACCTGCTATTCGCCAACAGGGAATGCTTCACGAAACGGCAGCCATTTCTTCACGACGATATTCTCGGTCGGGGAGTACTTTTTACAAGGAAGGGGCCTTGGAAAAATAGTTTTGATCGTCTAATAGGTTTCGTGTCTTGTCTAGGCCGGTTAAAAGATGTACAAATCGTATTTTTAATCATACATATGTCAATTTTTTCAAATAGAACAAGGGTGACTCATTAGCATAATTGGAAAAAGCATTTTGTTATGAATATATTGATACCACACACTTGGTATTTCGAGTCAAATTGTCGTTATGAACCGCGTGTTACAATTACAATTATACCATATGCGAGAATGTCAAAAGTTGACATATGATATGTCATTCTATTCAGAGTGTCATTTTCTATCGAATAAAGTAGAAATATACCGAGGGTGCCATTTAAAAATTAAAAGTTATAGTCATTTCCGGTGAAACAGGAAGTGACCAAAAACAATTGAATGCGTCAATAAATCCGTTAAGTAATCCTCAATCCTAATTTGAAAAAATAAAAAAATTATGGGAATGAGCCACTTTTGGGACGACCCGGTATAATAAAGATAGTACCGAGTTAAATAAATGTAGTTTTTCATTTTATCCACTTCCTATCATCTTCCTTTTAATAGAACAGATTTATGTTTTCTCTAATTTACATAAATAAGACATCACTTAACCAGAAAAAAAAATTACAACAATCATCATTTCTTTCCCTGTCGCCGATTCTATTATATCTGTAGAATAGATCCTGTTTTGATTAATATTAGGGGTTGTAAATGTTTGACTAAAATTAATATTTTTTTTAATAATTTCAAAAATTTTGTTATTTCAATTATAAAATTTCTTCTATAACATGTGTTTTATTATTTTTATCCTTTTTGGACTCTAAGACATTTTTTAAAACTTTTATTTAAAAAAACCTCTCCTAAATCTTAATAAAATATAAAAAAGTTTAAATACGATATATTTTTAATTTAATTATACCTTCATTAAAATAAAAAAATTACCCGGCTATAATACGGAGAGTTCAGGTGTACTTGAGAAACGAAAGACAGTGTTGCCTTTCTCGTCAGAGTCGTCAGGGAAGGACCGTTACGACAGAGACAACCTATCTATCGCTCGTGTCGCACTTGTTATAACCTAAAACAATAACAGAACAATAACAAGACATTGTCTGACCGCATGTTCCAGCTATTTCTGAATGAGATGCTCAGTCTATATTTTATTTTAAGTCTATGGTCCCGTCTTTGTAGTCTTTGGTATGATTTCAACTAAAATGGGACACCCTGTACAATTTTGAAAGATAAAAACTTGAAATACGTCAATATACCTACTATCTTCTATTGTTAGAGGTAGATGCAGAAAATAATTATTATTAAATCTCTTTTGAATAATCGTGCTGAAAAATTATTCTACACTTATCTAGTCAGTCAAACATTTTTTGCCTAATGTAAGATAAAGCCTAACACATCACTACTAAATTTATAATTTTGTCATGTCATTTTCTCAATAGTTTTGTTTATCGGAACAAGAAACCTGCGGAACTCGATTCACCTGTGCTGATATAAAACTAACAACGGTACTACTTTACAGTCAGTATTATTTTCATCGGCTGAAGGTACATAGCAAGGTTGTTTTAATACAGAGAAAGCAGAATGTCGGTGGACCGATTTGTTGGTAAAGTTGCCGTTATCACCGGTGCATCAGCCGGTATTGGGAAAGCCACAGCAGTGGCTTTAGTCAAAAAAGGTTTAATAGTAAGTAGAAATACACATAACAATATTTTTTCCTCATAATATAATAGTCAGAAGATGAAATTAAATTAGAATAATTTGGCTTACTTCTAAATCTTGTATATTATTTAGAACTTTTAAAATTGTTTAAAAAATTATTTCTGATTTTCTATTCGGGGTAAAAATGACTTTTTGTGACAAAATATATCATTTTTACTCCTAATAAAACAATAATACTATTATAGTAAAATTACAAGAGAATTACAAGTACAAGAAACAAGTAAAAGTGCAAGAGAATTTTTGTACATATAATCATTAATTTAAATATCGGAAAAAAGAATAAAATTTCAAATATACAATGCCACAGTAACGATTTACTTGTTTACTGTATTCATTGAATATAACTAGAGAATAAAATAAACAATGTAGGTATTTATGCTATTAATAAATATAAATGCGCAGAATTCCTTTAAAAGAAATTTATATTTTTTTATATACCAAACCAAACCAAACTAAAGCTTGTTTGGAAAGCAATTTGACATTCGTGACGTCAGCACTCCGGCAGTCTAACGTATCGCTAATTGCCATTCGCAAATATATTCCAGATACGTATAGTGAACAAGTGAACCGTTCGCAACGTTAAATAATTTTTATATTTGATTTTTATCGTGATGGCTTTTTATAAAAGTGAAGAATTTAGTAGTAGTGGGAACTATCGAATGAATACTATCGAAACATTCGATAGTTGCAATTCATTCGAATAATTCGATAGTAAGAAAACATTCGTTGAAAACTATTCGAATAAAAATTATCGAATAGATCCGTCATCTGCCTTGAAATATTGTATTCTAGTAATTCGGCAGCAAAAACCATTCATTTATGAAATTCATTTATTCGTCAGGATCGATTATAATAAAATATTAACTGAATTTTAGTTGTCGCCCGGCGACGTAGGTTTCTTTCCGAGAAACCCGACAGCGGTCGGTGGCAATGCTATGAAAGAAGCCGGCATCTTTGATTTTTTGCGGAGTCAGATATAGATAAGGACACATTATTTTTTTTATTGAGGTGCTAGTATTTACACAGAAAATACATTATGAAGGGCGCTGTTGCCATATTTTGGCATTAGTTGATATTAGCAAAGAATATTATTGTTTGGCTTTAGTTAGTTAGGGATAGTATGTCTATATATTCTGCATTTTTTTTTATTAATATTCTGTTGTTACACTGCAATAATACTTGTTATTTTGGATGTAAGAACATGAAAGTGATTTTTAATGTTTTTAAGCAAAGACTGGTTTAATAAATAATAATAACAGTAATAATTTGTTATACCTATTAACAACAAAATTTAAAATGATTTAATATCAATATTTTTTTAAGTAGTAGCAAAATATAAACAACAAATTAGATGTCAAAATTATTTATATTAGATCCTATTTAAAAATAATATAGTCTTTAAATTTTTTGGCAACGTTGGTTTGTTAAATAATAATAATTACAGAACTAATTTGTTATATTAACAACAAATTTTAAAATCATGAAATATAAACATTTATTAATTTTCTAAGCATGCAGTGTAATGGAACGAAAATATAAATAAAAAATTAGAAATCAAAATTATTTATATTAGGTGCTTTATATTTCTATTTAAAAATTATATTAATTAATTATATTACTTTTACTGGCATTTACTTTAAAAAATAAATGAAATATTTCTTCGCAAAAAACTACATGTAAGAGAATTAGCATAAACAAAATACAAACATCGTTAACTTTTTTTTAAAATTGGCACGTGTAAAACTTTCATTTTAATTTCTCACCCCATAGTTTGAGTTCGATAACCCCCCATTTACTTAACCACATTACTTAAATATGATTATTAAGTTCCAACTAATTCATATTATTAAAACATCTAAAATGCAAATATGTATTTTTAAAATTAATTGTAAGTTCATCTCATCCCTCTTAAAAATTGCTACTTCTCAAAATTTCCCATTAAAAAATAGACCATATACCATATAAAATTAAATAACTGAAAGATCGGACTACGGAAAACAACACAAATTTTCGGAAAAATTTTGACCACCTGCACATGCACACAATCGTCAATAAATAAAATTAAAAAATAACTACTATTTTAATATTTTAACTATTTTAATAAACGCAAAAATAGCACAGTATTTATACGGCGAAGTTATAAAAATTTGGAAGAACTAATAATGCACTGGCGCATACAAAAATCAAACGAATACTAAATTTCATTTTTCATTTATCAAAAGCATTCGATAGTCGTGGCGCAACGATAACCATTTGGTCGCACGGCGAGATTGTCACATATGCTTTAGTATACAAATGAATGAATGATTTTATTCGAATAAAACCATTCGATAGTTGAAATCATTCATTCATTAATCATTCGATAATCTAATTCATTCGATAGTTCCCATCGCTAGAATTTAGTAAGAAAAATATTAATGATGGAGATGAACGTGTACGGATTCATGAATGGTCACTATAGAAATGTGAGGTATGTATGTATATAAAATAGAAAACAAATTTCTTGCAGTATAGGTATATAATAAAATTATATAAGGATTCTTGCCACTTAACTGCTGATATAGAAATTTAATTCTACGCTGTGTTTGTCATAATGTGGATCAACCTGCTCTCACTAGTGTTGGGAAAATTCGAATTAAATAATACGACTAATTCGATAGTAAATTAAAACTAACTAATTCGAATGATCTTTTTCGATATAATCGAGATAAAAATTAGTCGTATTTTATATTATATCTGTGGTAACCGAATTACAAATGAACAAGTAGTATTCTTTCGTTCTGAATTTTCGATATTAGGAAAATTAGAATTAAATAATACGACTAATTCGGTAGTAAATTAAAACTAACTAATTCGATTATCTTTTTCGATATAATCGAGATAAAAATTAGTCGTATTTTATATTATATCTGTGGTAACCGAATTACAAATGAACAAGTAGTATTCTTTCGTTCTGAATTTTCGATATATCGGATAAAAATTAGTAGTATTTATTAGTGTTGGGAAAATTCGAATTAAATAATACGACTAATTCGATAGTAAATTAAAACTAACTAATTCGAATTATCTTTTTCGATATAATCGAGATAAAAATTAGTAGTATTTTGTATTATACTGTGGTAACCGAATTACAAATGAACATAAAACATAACCTCTTATGGACGAATACGAATATTAGTAATTAGTATAGTACTATTAGTAGTATTCTTTCGTTCGGAACGAACTGAAAATTTTCACTTAAACTGATTTATAAAGGGAATCGACAAAGAAAGGAATGATCCCATATAGAAAAATCTAGAAATCATTGTTATTTCCTATACCACGTAGGAATAAATCAGTTTAAGTGAAAATTTTCATTTCGTTCAGAACGAAAGAATACTACTATTATTTGGTTCATTTCCATCTCACCCAAATTTCACCGAACACCTGCCGAACACTAAAATTAGTTTTTTTCTTTTATCTAAATAATTATTGATTGCAACTGATAAAATAAAAAGAAATATGGGTATACCGAAATATGAACCGCACGTAAACAAGGACATACTTATATCGTTTTAGAAGAAGCTTCTATTTTAGATATGAGCTTTTCAATAGGAATTGAAACAATCATAAACTCAGCACTTTTAAATTTAAAACTTTAAATTATGGTTTAATTTATTAAACGGCTTCGGCACAGTTAATAGAATACATTGAATAAAGATTTTTTTTTTATTTTTTATTCAGTGATAGAATGGAAGGTATGGCAATGGTTCAGATTTGTTTAAACTAGCCCCTAGACGAGCACTAGCTGGGACGAATTTATTTTTAGGTTAAATTTATAATACTACTAAATAATTCGAATTATTAATTCGATTGTGAAATATGAATTATTACTAATTATTCGATGGTGAAAATAATTCGATTATTCCCATCACTAGCTCTCACTACCGGTTTCGGAGCGCTACTCCATCATTAGGTGAGCTTGGGCAGATCCACAAAATGACAACCACAGCGCAGAGATAGTTAATTCCCACTTGTCGGAAAGTGTCGGTCACATATTAAGTCCCGAACGGGAGATAGCGGCCTGCGTGCAATGGTAGTACTTTCGTACCACCGGGGCGCAACTATCGATAGTAAAAGGATGGTAAAAGGCTTTTTTTTTCAGGCAAGCCAAATTATAAAATAGAAAACAAATTTCTTGCAGTATAGGTATATAATAAAATTATATAAGGATTCTTTTGCCACTTAACTGCTTATGTAGAAATTTAATTCTACGCTGTGTTTGTGTCGGATTTATGGACGGTCCATAAATTTAAATTCGCCGTACAAAAAATAAGTAATAGTCACTGTAGATAAAATTAAATTAAAATATAGTTCCACGATAATTTAGTTTGCAGCTTCTTTTCATCATACCTAGTAAAAACCCGTCACAACCACTACTCATAGTATGTATACCTATGTATTTTTAAACATCATTTTGAGATTTAAGTCATAGGTGCCCATAATATGAGTAGTGGTATTGACGGTTTTTTGTTATGATGAAAATGTTGCGTGATATGAAAAAGCAACAAAATATATTATCGATTACAGCAACTATACCTAGTTTACATTCAGTATGCCCAATTAATATAGAACATTATACCTATGCATGATTTTAAAAATTTGCTACCATTATATTTTGATAGTTGAGTTTTTGAAATTATTTGTTAGCTTCTTAAACAAAACAGACCCATAATAATTCAAATCTTTATCATCCAAGACTTCCAAGAATTATAAAGTAATCTCATGTCAAAATTTTTTAAAATTATTGCATGCCTTAAATGTTTGCAAAGTTAACAAAAACATGTCTTTGATTACCTGCAATTAATATATTTGGTCCAATTTATCAGTTCTGCATCATATCCGAAATTCAGATTGTGTGTGACACAACGAAGAGTCAACGTGCAACGTGAACGAGAAGAAAATGGCAAGTAAAAAAAAATTGTAGTCTTAATTACTAATTGCACAGTCGTTCTCTTGAGTTCTCCTGCCTAAAATCTATATTGCCTTCCCTAAGATTTTAAATATAAATGATTGAAACTCATACAAGTTTACCACAATTTAAACTTAAGATAATTATTTAATTATTAAATTCATAATTATATTAAAATATAACACTTACGAAGTTACTAAATATTAACTATTTCTACTTAATCATACAATAATTCTGATAAAAACACTCTTGATTATTTATTTTAGAAATCGTACGGGCTATAATCATTAATATGACTATATTAACAATACTTAAATCAAAATTTATTTGAAGGAATGCTATTGTATTACAATAATTGTAAAACAAGTATGTAATAATAACTCGGAATAATTATTAAAAACTGCTCATCTTGTTATAGATGTCGGCGTCTTGTCTCTATTATTTTATTAGCCGTTTAGCTATAGTTTGATTTCAGATAATGCAGATTTTAATGTGCCATTTGTGTTTTTTTATTGGAATTATTATTTTTAGCATATTTGATATACTCTATGAAGTTATTTTTAAGTGCTCCTGTCCATTTTTCAATTATTAAAGTGCCTTTAGATACAATTAAAATTAATTAATTGGTGTATAGTATTTGTATTATGGGTTTGTTTATTTTTTATGAAATGAATTTTTTGCCTATTAAAATAAACAAAGCTTACTAAATCACTAGATAGCCATTTTTAAATACAGGATGTTAATTAAGTATCTGGCCAAACTTCAGGAGGTGATCCTTTGAATGTTTTTAAGGTAAAAAGTTCATATAAACATGTGCCCGGAAATGTATAATTTTAAAGATACAGGGGTGTCAAGGTGTTTTCTAATAGACCTATTAATATCTCAAAGATTTTGTTGTTGGCTGATTTTGTTGAAATTTCGCCATGTTGTAAAATTTAATAAGTTAGCACTAATTAAATGATAATTATTATTTACAACAATATTTAAACGATAAAAACTTATCCCAATAAATATTTGGCACCGCCTTGAATTCATTTGTTTTTACTGTTGACGGTGGAAACCATGCAAGCTTTTTCTTTGTCCTAAGTTGTTAATTAAAAAAATTAGTATCATATAAAAAATATAGGTCCTAATAGCCTAAATTTTATCAAAATATATCAGCAGATCCGATGAGACCCGAATTATTATATGTTTTGGAACTTAATGATTTAATTAATCATTCCCTTTAATGCATCCATTGTGCGCATTATCCTACGCGCCAAGAAAAAATATTGCATTAGTCTAAATTTATTATTTATGTTATTCCGCTCTTTCACGTATAATTTGCCCCCTGCTTCTCATACGGAAAGAGTTAGATTAAAATAGCCCAACTGTACTTAGCAAACCATGCCTTGACGCATATTCTTTTTTATAATAATATCGGCTTTCCCAGACTAAACATCCATATCCATAAAATAGTTGGCCCACACTAATAAGACCTCATTTCGGCCCTCGGACGGCCTTGCTTTATTCAGCTATCGACTTACGTGTTGACAAGTTGATTAGGCAGGTTATTGAACTCCACGTCGCCTCTAGCATGTCGTTTTTTCAAAGATGGATCCCATATAAACGCGGCCAGAAGTATTTTCAATACTAAAACGATTAAAAAAAAGTCGCCTTGGCTAGGATTCGAACCTGCCTTACTACGGCTCCAACGTCATAGCAGCGTAAAGTCCTAACCATAGACTTAAAATAAAATATAGACTGAGCATCTCATTCATAAATAGCTGGAACATGCGGTCAGACAATATCTTGTTATTGTTGTGTTATTGTTTTAGGTTATAACGAGTGCGACACGAGCGATAGATAGGTTGTCTCTGTCGTAACGGTCGTTCCCTGACGACTCTGCCGAGAAACACAACACTGTCTTTCGTTTCTCAAGTACACCTGAACTCTCCGTGTCATAGCCGGATAATTTTTTTATTTTAATGAAGCTATAATTAAATTAAAAATATATCGTATTTAAACTTTTTTATATTTTATTAAGATTTAGGACAGGTTTTTTAAATAAAAGTTTAGAAAAAACGTCTTAGAGTCCAAAAAGGATAAAAATAATAAAATACACGTTATAGAAGAAATTTTATAATCAAAATTACGTAATTTTTGAAATTAATAATAAATTATTAATTTTAGTCAAACATTTACAACCCCTAATATTAATCAAAACAGGATCTATTCAACAGATATAATAGAATCGGCGACAGGGAGAGAAAAAAAAATATGATTGTTGTAATTTTTTTTTCTGGTTAAGTGATGTCTTATGTAAATTAGAGAAAACATAAATCTGTTCCATTAAAGCAAGGAAGGTGATAGGAAGTGGATAAAATGAAAACTACATTTATTTAACTGGGGTTATTATACCGAGTGCGTCCCAAAAGTGGCTCATCCCCCATAATTTTTTTATATTTTCAAATAAAAAAACAAGATTTAGTATGTTAGTATATGACATAAATTAGGATTGATTGACGCATTTTAAATGGCACCCTCGGTATATTTCTACTTTATTCGATAGAAAATGACACTCTGAATAGAATGACATATCATATGTCAACTTTTGACATTTTCGCATATGGTTTAATTGTAATTGTAACACGCGGTTCATAACGACAATTTGACTAGAAATACCAAGTGTGTGGTATCAATATATTCATAAAAAAATGCTTTTTCCAAATATGCTAACGAGTCACCCTTGTTCCATTTGAAAAAATTGACATATGTATGATTAAAAATACGATTTGTACATCTTTTAACCGGCCTAGACAAGACACGAAACCTATTAGACGATCAAAATTATTTTTCCAAGGCTCCTTGATTAAAACTTAGTGTTTTTAACAACACCATGGCACCCCGGATTGAAATTTAAAATACGATTTGTTTTTAAGCGACAATGTCAAAAGTTGACATATGATATGTCATTCTATTCAGAGTGTCATTTTCTATCGAATAAAGTAGCAATATACCGAGGGTGCCTTTAAAAATCAAGATGTAATCATATCGGTGAAACAGGAAGAGACCAAAAACAATTGAATACGTCAATAAATCCTAATTTATGTCATATACCTACTAACATACAAATCTGTGTTTTTTATCTGAAAAAATAAAAAAAGTTATAGGGGTGAGCCACTTTTGAGACGACCCGGTATATTAAAAAATATTGTTTCATAATGTAATATCATTTTAAAATTCTAGTATGTTATTTTAGATTCTAAAGATAATTTTAGAATAAACCGGAATATATTTTTAATAAAAACATTATTAATTATTAACAGGGTTATAATTATGATTCTGTTACAATGTAAGTAAGTAAACAACGTAATGTAAGAGAAAAAATTCAGATTTTACATTTTACTAAAATATTATCTAAATAAGCGCCTTTCTACAACAACGCCATTGACTCCTAATGGGTAAATTGAGAGTTTCAAGACTTAAATGAATTATTTAAGTCAAATTTTTCTTGCAAATTTGGCACTGGCGAACCATATTTTATAGTTCTTGAACAGAAAAAGTCAATAAAATAAACACTTAAGGACTACAAGCTAAGAAAATGCGTTAATACAGCCGGGAACATAGCGGCAACAAAGCTTTACCGCACACGTGCGACGCGTACTACAAGGTAATAAATGAATGAATAGGCTCCCTCGCCTCTAATCGGTGTTGTCATATTGTAAAGAACTTATCCTTTTTAAACAGTATCCAACTTATAATTTAGTAGTATAAGGACTATTTAATACATCTATGGAATATTAAAACCTACTTTATTAAACTGTAGTATTAATATCTCATATATGTGTATAACAAGAAAAAATATTGATAATATTAAAGACGTGACAACATAGGCTGGATGAGGAAGGCTCGGTCGACTGTACCCAGAAGTAAACATGTGTACAAAAAAGGTTGTTTGTCCGCGTTGAGATGTAAATAGTGTAGTCTATATTTTATTTTAAGTCTATGGTCCTAACGCTTTAACCACGCGGCCACCGAGGACTTGAAAAATTCTATGTAAAATTCTTACTTACAAAAGATAATGTTTAGTGAAAGTACTTTTTTACTTATAAACATTTATTTAATTCTGTTTTTAGTATTTGTTCTTATAGCGGCAACATAGATACATTTTATCTGTAAAAATTTCAACTGTCTAGCTATAACGGTTCATAAGATAGACCTTTGTGACAGACAGACGGACGGACAACGAAGTCTTAGTAATAGGGTTCCCGTTTTTACCCTTTGGGTATGGAACCCTAAAAATCAGTCCAACGAGTCAGTTAAAATTTATTGACCGACGACATCCAAAAAATGACAGAAAACACCATTTATCTGTGAATTAAAATGACAGACAAATGTTCCCAACTATTTAAACTAAATGTTTATTTTAATGCTATTAATTTATTAGAGAGAAAGTTAAACAAATGCAATGGGAAAGTTTATTTTTTCTTTGAGTCTATTACTTGTAAGTAAATATACCGTATGATCGAAAAAAAAAGGCATCAGCGATGAATATGAAATGAAGATCGCTGTCATTTTATATGTAAATTTATATGGAAAATGTCATCGATCGTTCTTTAATCTTTCTTATCGTTATTAATTTTTAACAATATAATTCTTCACTGTGTTTTTTTAGGTAGCTGGGTTAGCTAGAAGAGTAGAGCGCATTGAAGAGCTGGCGAAGCAGCTAAAAAATGAAAAGGGCAAGCTGTACGGTTTCAAGGCCGACATGACCAAAGAGGATGAAATCATTTCAGCATTCAAGAAAATCACAGAAACTTTAGGTCCCATTCATATCCTTATTAACAACGCTGGAGTGGCACCTTTAACTAGTCTTATCGATGGAGATATAAGCAAATGGAGACAAATATTAGGTAGATAAATCTCAAAGTTTATTATGCTAATTTTTTCTCTAGTATTTACTATTTTTTTGTCTATACTTTTTGAAGAAAAAAAAATTTTCAAAGCTGTTTTATAAAGAATGTTTTTTGTCACATCGAGCTATCAAGGCGAATAAAATCTATTACGCTCTAATAATCTAGTTGATGAAAATATGGAATTTTATATTAGTATCACTATATTTTGTCCAGTGATCTCATTTTGATTCCCAAAAAACGCAGTAGATCCATGTCCACGGAATATTGGGCCATCCTGTATAAGTGATTTCCTTTTTTTTTGCACCTAGTATAATAATTATTCAATAATCATTTTCCTTTTTCTGTTTAGATACAAACGTCTTAGCTCTGAGCATAGGCACTAGAGAAGCGATAGCCAGCATGAAAGCCAGCAACATCAAAGGACACATCATTAATATTAACAGCGTTGCCGGACATGATCCCATGGATATTCCCGGTATATCGGTTTATCCTGCATCGAAATACGCCGTTACCGCGTTGACTGAAAGTTTCAGAAAAGAAATCAACAGGAATAAATTACCAATTAAAATTACAGTATGTATTCAATTAATAATTCTTATGATTATCCAGGGTGAGTTTCAAATAAGTGCAAAAATATTTTCAAGGCTGGTAGATCTCTGTAAAAGAAACATATTTTCCGCGAAATGACTCCTAGACGTGTTTCTGAGGTCGAAATATACTCTAAAATGATTTCCATTAATTTGAGACTCACCCTGTAGAGGAAAATCGCTGTAAAATACTGAACCGACTATAATAATCTCGATTATAATAATTGCATTGGCAAAAAACATTGTTTTATACCATATGTTTGAAAAAAAACGGCGTCTAAGACGTCTTAGGAATGATAATCGATGCTAATTTTGGCGAGATCAATACCTAGACGTCATTTATTTAGCCCGTACTCTTTTTTTAATGGCCCTTACTGTCATTTGGCCTTAAGAAGATTTTAACTTGTTTTTATATCGAGTAAAAATGGGTTTTAAATGGTGTAGTTTAAAATTCGAGAAAAATTTTGACAAGTTTAATGTCAATTTTTCTTAAATGACATCTAAAGATTGACCTCGCTAAAATTATCATTGATTATCATTCCCCAGCCGTCTTTGAAGTCGATTTTTTTCGATCATACGGTATACGTAACATAAAATAATTGCCCCCATACTTTATGTTTATATTTTCTGCTTGGTCATATTATTATTACTGTTAAATACTGTGCAGGTTATAAAGAAAAATTATCTAATTATACTTTATAGAGTAGCATTTAACTAAATTGTTACTTACTCATCATTAATACCAGGATAATTTCATAGTTCCCCTTACCTGAAAAAAAAACAGTGTTATTAATACCACAGATTATACAGATTATAATCTTTGTTTTTTCTTTATTGTTTTTCGTGGTTCCAATTTTCGGAATCGGGCACTAGTTAGATTACTAGTTTGCGCATACAGCACGCCCACTTGTGGCCTCTAAAATTGTGCACAGCGCCTGACCGGCACAGTTATTAGAGAGATATCGGAAAACCGAATAGCGTCATGCAGTATTTACGCGTACCTTATCATGGTTACGATATGCGCGAGTCAATTTTTAACGCAACACCCGCTAATAACGTTACCGCCTGACGTAATTTGCGGATCAATTAAGATTCATTTTCATGCATCCGTTGTCCGACGATACGTTGATACGATATTAATTTTATTGGTAGAATGGGCTCTTTAACTATATTTTGGAATTAGCATAATTGAATAAAGCAATTAATTCTAGAATTTTCTGCTATCTCACTTTCGAAAAATTTGAAGTCGTTCTTAAGAAAATAAATAAAAACAAAAAAGCCCAGAATAAAAATCCGCACTTAAAAAAAAGAAAAGCGGCAACACGACCGGGCCACAATGCTTGCCCACCACCACCTCCACACAAGGCCATTCAACCTTTTCCAATATGGCGGAGTTAGAAGTGCTTTATTTGGCGCGTATTTTAAAACCTCTTTTATTTCCAAATAGACATTTTTCACACAAATGTCGGGTTAGATTACGTAATATTTCACTAATTTTTTAATATACAGGGAGTCTAAAGCTCTCCACATAAGTATGGAATTTTTTGTATTATTACTTTTATGAAAACATCTGTTAGTTACTTTTTATAAAAAGGTCTGCTTTCTCAGAAAATAGGTAGGTAGTGTACTAGTGTGTAAATATTCAAACTTGAGGTAGCATATATAGGGGGTGTTCAAAATCATCGGAAAAAGAAATAACCAGAAATATATGACAGAAAATAGCAATATAAACTAAATATTCAATTGCAAACACTTACCTACCATAGTTTAGAATTTACTCTGAACGTTTGATAAATATATACTATTATGGACAGTATAGAAAGTTACTTGTCTTAGTAAAAGCCTTGGTAAATGCTCTTGGAATTATAAACTACACTGACTTGGATCAACAAATATGCAATATTTTTTCTATGTTTTGCAGCATTACACAAATGGGAATAAATTTAAACTATAATAGGTGAGGATAACTAAAAAATATAATATGTGTTTCAAGATTTTATATAGAAAAAAAAACTAAATACCTTTTTGGGGGTTCGTAAGTAAAACTTACGCTTAGCTTAGTTTTCTTTACTCTTTCTCTTTACATAGGGCATTGTCTTTGTGGTAAAGACGTCATTCCTTTTTTTTTGTAATTTTCTTCAATAAAATATTGGATATTCTGAACAAGATGGATTTAATAATAAATTCTGATGTATGTGAGGGGCAATTGTGACCTAAAAAAAGACTTACATCCAGGCCATTTATATTTTCAAATGTCAATGTTGTCAATATCTTTCTGTGATCTTTTTGATGTAAAAAGCTTGATTCTTCTTCCAATATTTTATTTCTAGTGCGGTAAGTGTTAACACCTCACTAGGGTAACAGAGGCTTTGGCCTCTGGCCTTTTTGAGGCATGTTTAATGCACTTCTTACCCGAGAACTACTAGTAGGAGTGAAATTATCTCTTTTAATAGCTGTCAACCATTTTTTACGAAGCTCGTCATTTTTGGGGAATATAAAAGCAGAAACCTTGGGATCCACTCTATAATTATCGTGACAATTTGGAACAGAGCATGTAAAAGGTATGCTACAATAAAATGTTACTACCTACCCTTTAATACATATCTTTTGATTATTGTAAGTAACCATTATAAAGTACTATGCAGACTGGAGGTGAAGGCTTTTTAGTTCTTACCTTAAAATAATTAATAATAGAGGAGTACGACAAGCACAAAAGTTTGAAGTTCTCTATGTGGAATGTCTGGTTTGGATTTTTATTACACTGTTATTTTATCACAATTTTCTGATCACACCATGCACTGAACACTAAGAACTAAACAAACGTGTTGCAGAAGCACAACAAACTAGAGATAATTAATTATTTCCGGTATGCAATCGGAACGAGAAACCACCACACATTGGCCTTGAGTTGAGGCGGTGCTGGTCAAATCAAATCGCAATGTTGCCAGTTGTTGGCCGGTTCTGCAGTGTGATTGGCCGTATTTGTCATACGTCATCAATTGGCGCTTTAAAATTATTTCAAATTAAAGCAATTTTGAGGGCCTATAAAAAATTATTCAATGTCATGGAACAATTTGTTTTGGATAAATATACTGAAAATAGTCTTCTATTTCAGATTTTATCCTTGAATTGGGTATTTAATTTTTTGTGAAAGAGCCCATTTAAAGACTTTGATTGTTTAGAAAACAACGCAGTTTTTAAATTTATTGCATTGTCATGCCTCCGTTTATCGGATATACGTTGGTGTTATTTTATATTTTTGTTTCCATAACGATTTTGCTATTTTACTTATATTTTTATTATTGTTAGATTAAATTTGTCAAAAAAGTGTCAAAACGTCCATTATCGTATGAACGGGTCCGTTGACGGGCTGAAGTAAAATATTTACGGATGAAAAGTGGCGCGAAAACACTATGACCAATCAGAGCACGGACACAGTCGGACCAACGTACCAACGTATAACGGATGCATGAAAATCAAGCTTTACACCAAGCGCTATTTCTAATTTCTAAATAACGTTTAAAAATTGCTTAAATGGGCATGTGCGGGTATTTGACAACCGGGGCCGACCGGCGCGCGGCGAGATCTTTTATTTTAGGTTATGTTTGAATTGTTTTGAATTATTACTCTAGTTTTATTAGGTAATTTGATATTTAAGTAGCTGGGATTAGTTTTAATTAAATAAATATGGCCCAAAATATGGATTCAATCTCTTCCAATATTAAAGAACCTATAAAGAGGCTTAGGTTTACAGCAGATGACGACTTAGCCCTTCTAAGAGAATTTGTTGCTTGTTGCCCTAAACCCACTGGCATACGTTCAACAATAAAGCACTGGAAATAAGAACTTTTTTAGTTTTAAAATACCTAGTAAACCGAACAATTTCAAAGTTTTAAATTCAAAGTTAGGTTAAGTTTAAATAGCGGACGCGACGCGAACAGAATCCTTTCCGATCCGATAACTATAAATGAAGAGAGTTAATACTACCTCACGTAAAGGAAATAACACCTGGCCTTATTAACGTCCATGCACGCTATTCGGTTTAGCGATATCTGTCTATTACGCTGTTTATTGTTATTTTACGCGAGTTTATTTTTGCGCACAGGAAATTTTACTCGTTTGCACATCGTCATAAAAAACAATTTTCGTACCACGAATTAGGAACAAGATTTTTATCTGTATACTTATAGGATACCTAATCTGTATCAATACATTATTCATTGACATTTAACGCAAATTTAAAAAAAAGCAAATAATATTGGTTGTTTGATTTTCGATAAATATTTTTAAAGCCTGGATATTTTAAAATAAAACACTAAATCTTAGTATTGTGGTGATTTACTGTTTTATTTTGCTGTGTAACACCAAAGGTTCCAACTCCCAACTGTAACCTGGTTATTTCGTCCCTATAATCGATACCAAATAAAGTTCTAGTCACAGCTTACAGAATAACATAGCTTTGACACTCGCCAATTTTTCCCACGCTCGAATTTAAAACGCCCCACTCCGACGATGCGCTAACTGAATTAAGCGACCGACAGTCAGCCTCATTCAGTCGATGCATAGCCTCCATCGGTGGCGCGTAGGGCCGTATTACGGAAGATTTTAATTCGATTTTTTTTCTTATATTTAACCATAGGTATTTGTGCTTTTATTTCAATTTTATTTTTATTGATGGAATGGGAAAAGGTTTTCCAGGATGTGCGTCTGCTGGTTGCACAAATAATTATGGAAATAATTCAAAATATAGTCTGTTTAATTTTCAATTCAATTCAAAATTAATGTTCAATTCAAAAGTATATTCACACTTTAGAGCTTTTCAAATCGATGAAGACTACTTATTTGGAGGTTTGCTAATGCCAAGTGACCATTTTTTTATTTAGTTTCCTCATTGGAGGCTATTTTTATAAGCATGTATGTATGTATGTTTGTTCGGGGCAAATCTTGTAAGCTAAATTAAAACCACTTCCGTTTATTGTAGGAAATCGAAATTTGGCATGTAGGTTCAGTCCCGATGACAATACATTTTTTTGCAAGGCATGACCCGAATTTTTGACAGCTGTCAAAATGGCGGCATTTTTGAGGTTTTTGATTTTTATATATATATATATATATATATATATATATATATATATATATATATATATATATATATATATATATATATATATATTATATATATATATATATATATTATTATATATATATATATATATATATATATATATATATATATATATATATATATATATATATATTATATATATATATATATATATATATTCTATTTATGAATATATATATTATATATATATATATATATATATATATATATATATATATATATATATATATATATATATATATATATATATATATATATATATATATATATATATATATATATATATATATATATATATATATATATATATATATATATATATATATATATATATAGTATATATATATATATATATATATATATATATATATATATATATATATATATATATATATATATATATATATATATATATGCATATATATATATATATATATACAGGTTGTTAACTCGACAGTTACTTATAGGGAAACAAAATGGCAACACTGCCTATTGAGAACGTATGCATTATTGATTTTTCTGCCCACTCGTCCCGTCCCGTCGTCTATCGACGAGCGGGCCGAGGTTATTTCAACCATAAAACTCTTGCCGCAAGTAATGAACAATTTAACAACCTGTATAGGTATATTGTCGGTATATACATATGAAAAAAAATATATGGACGGCCATCTTGAAAAAATGACAGTTTAATGACATGTCAAAATTTCAAAGTCAACCGATTTTCATAAAAATTGATATATAGGATGGCCATGGGCTAAAATGAAAGAAAAAAAAATTGAGCTGTCAAATTTGACAGCTGTCAAAAAAATTTCAAAGTTGTCCGATTTTGGTAAAAATTGATATATAGGACGGCCATGGGCGAAAATGAAAAAAAAATGTTGAGCTGTCAAATTCGACAGTTGTCAAAAAAATTTCAAAGTTGTCCGATTTTGATAAAAATCGATGATAGCCGTGGGCTAAAATGAAAGAAAAAAATTTTGAGCTGTCAAATGTGACAGCTGTCAAATAATTTCAAATTTGTCCGATTTTGATAAAAATCGATATATTGGATGCCCCCTACCCCATAGTCGGTTTTCATTTTATTTGTCTCACATTTGTAATGTTTTCACATTTGATTTGTTTTATTTGTCATTTTATTTGTCTCGCATTTTTTGTCAATTTGACAGCTGTCGTTTTTTTTAAGTTCTCCTTTTTTAATGAAAATCGATATACATATTATTAGGATACCCATAGAAAGTTATTTAAGAAAAAAATTGAGTTTAAGTGTGTGGCACTGAGAAACCAGCATAACTAAAAAGTAGAAAATAAATTTTATAAAAAAACCTTTTTAAAAACAAGCTTTTATTTAAATACACTAAAAAGAATAAAATAAACTCTTTTTCTTTAAAACTTTTATTATGAACTTAGAACGTCATTACACAATTTTAATATTAGATATATAAAAGCTTGTCGCGAGATTTCTCTACATCGATAAACAAGTAAATTAACTAAAACCTGTGTCTACCCTGTCTCATTTTCAAAGTTTGTGTTATGATAGACCACTAGACCAGGAATTACAAGATAAAGTTGTCGTACCAGATTTTTATGAGTGCAACTGTACACTCAAATCTCGCGACAAGCTTTTATATAATATTAAAATTGTGTAATGACGTTATAAGTTCATAACAAAAGTTTTAAAGAAAAGTTTATTTTATTCTTTTATTGTATTTCAATAAAAACTTGTTTTTAAAAAGTTTTTTTATAAAATTTTTCAGAACAATTTTGAAGAACTTTCCTTAAATGAAAATATATTATGTAAATTCGTTAAATTATTTCAGACAATTAAATTCAACCATCAATCAAAATTTTCCTATAATGTATTTTTTGTTAAAATTATACGCAAAAGTTAGAATTTATTATACCTTAAAGAATATTAATAAGAACTTAAATGTAGCAAACAAAAACCGAAAGCTCCTAATTTAGAAACATTCGTAAATAACTATAAGTAATCAATGTACCTATTTCATTTTGCTGTTATTCCTAGAAATAAACTAATTAATTTGTTTTTTAAATGTTTTTCTTTGAGAATGGATATTTATTTAAAGTCAACAATTTAAAAAACGTGTATCTAAATTATGTTCTAGCACCAGTCGAATAATTTTTTACGTCACGTGTAAAATTTTTTTGAATACATCTCTGGGCTGACTGGCGCTTACGCGGCTATTGGTTTTGGCGAGAGAGCTCGCCGCTCTAGTGTTCCCCCTCTTTCGAATCGCAAATCCGAGCGTAAAAAGATCAAAGCGGCAGGCTACACTGTCCGAGCTGGTTTTTACTTAAGCTGTATTCTAGTTACGTCATCGATGGCGCGAGAAATACTAATACTAAAAGAAAAATGTATTATTTCAGAGCATCAGTCCTGGATATGTCAAAAGCGAAATGGCTGAGGCGGCTTTCGGTCCAGAGGCAGCAAAAGGTATCAATAGCAGGCCCGGATTAGAAACTGAAGATATTGCTGACAATATAGTTTACGTGCTGTCCACCCCAGAACACGTTAATGTAAGTAAAAGTGTAAAGCTCCATCTACACGTAACATTTTACCTGTCGGTTTTGAATGTTAGTTAAAGACCGCCTACAAAACCAAATGCAGTTCTGTAGACGGTCATAGCCCCGTCTAGACCTTAGTGATTAGCAAATGCAAGATCAAGACCAAGATTCTATTTATTTATCACGGTCTTGCTGGAAGATTCTTCCAAGTCTTACATTTTTTATAGATTTTTACTCGAAGCACGTTCTATACCGGGTGCGCCTCAAAAATGGCGCACCTCTATAACTTTTTTATTTTTCAGATAATCTTCAAGATTTAATATAATTATAGTAATTTGTTTTTTGCAGATAAAAGAACTGACTGTTGTAATCCAAGGACAAGAGGCTTAACTAACTTTAGATGTAACAGAATGTGGAACCAGTTTCATATATTACTCTCTACATAATATATATGTTTATTATTATTATTTATTAGATATCTTTAGACATATTCATTTACATACCTAATCTTAGACATCATATTTACATACCTTATTATAGCACATTCATTAAAGGCATATTAATTTTTTAAATGGTTAAGGAATGTACTTATTAAAATAACAATGGAAACATACACTAAAATATAGTCACGATCAAAACATTCTTTTCATATCATTTTTGCATTCTGTAAGTTTAAGATTCATCTTAATTTATGTTGTACCTATTATTGTCAATTATTTTTAAAATATTTAATAATCTTTCTAAATCTAAAGTTATTTATTTATGTAAATTGTTAAAATAAAAACACATTTTTAAAATAACCGATTTTTTTAAATATCTAGTAAGCCAAAACTTTTTCAAAAATCCGAAAGGCGCATATATTTGACCTCACATTTGAGTGACTCTCTAGATCCAGTAGTTTCCAAGATACCCATAGAGAACATGGTGGAAAATTCACCCTGTATAATAAAAAATATTTTTGAAGATAAAAAACATAGACATGTGCAAAAGCCAAGATAATGTCATGGCTTTGTGGCAATACCCCACGAGCCGCTACTGACAATAATAATTATTATTGTACGAACACTTCGATAAAAACAATATTTTTAAAGATTGTGTAGATAATAATAGAACATTCGATAGATAAAACAGGCAGACTTACATATTATGCAACAACGTGTAAACTCGATCTTTTTTATTTTGTTTTCTACTTTATTTACGAATTTTTGCTAATTTTTAAGTACTAATCAGATAAGGCTATGCATCTCAATCAATTGCTATAAAAATGAGATATAAGTATTTAAAAATAGTAATGTAGATAACTTATTAAGCGTGTGACATTGTTTTGTTGATATTGTTCACAGTAAAATAATGTCCCTTGAAAGATTTGTTGGTAAAGTTGCTGTTGTGACTGGAGCATCTGCTGGTATAGGCAAGGCTGCAGCTGAAGCTTTGGTGAAACAAGGGCTAATTGTAAGTAAAATAAATACAACTTCTAAGCATTAAATTCGAAGGAAAACGATATATTTACTTGTGTATCAAGGGAATTATAAGGAATAATAATTAGCCAACATTATATTAATAATTTATTACGAAGGATTCCGTACCATTCATTATCTATACAACATTACACACTATATTATTATAAACTTTTTTCCGATTTAGCTAAAATTTTGAATGCGAGTATAAGTAATTTAAAAAAAAATGAAGAAACACATTACTAAAAATTGTGTTAATCAATAATAAATATGTAAAAAGTAAAAATAAATTTGTAAAAATATGTAAAAATTAAAAAAAGTCGCCTTGGCTAGGATTCGAACCTGCCTTACTAAGGCTCGAACGTCATAGCAGCGTAAAGTCCTAACGCTTTAAGCACGCGGCCACCGAGGACTTGAAAGATTCTATATAAAATTCTTACTTAAAAGATAATGTTTAGTGAAAGTACTTTTTTATTTATAAACATTTTTATTTAATTCTGTTTTTAGTATTTGTTCTTATAGCGGCAACATACAGTACGTCTGCTGGATCTGTTTCTATGAAAGGAATGCGGACAAAAAACATTTAAATAAACAACAATATATTTTATTCGTCGACTTGACGAGTACGTCACCGCAAATCGCTCCGCCCACTCATTTCATTGGCTACTTGCAAATTTGTCGAATTTTTATTGATGAGAGGCGTCGTCTATTTTTTTACGAAAAACATCGAGAGAATATCGTTTCCCCTCTCACGGATACCCCGTAGCTATAGAACGGACAGTCGTACTGTAGATACATTATCTGTGAAATTTTCAACTGTCTATAAGCAATAACGGTTCATAAGATAGACCTTTGTGACAGACCGACGGACAGCGAAGTCTTAGTAATAGGGTTCCCGTTGTAGCATGTTTTTTAAACTTGCTACCTTTTTGATAATAGCCCTTTCTCTTTTTATTAATTATAGTTTATAAATTTCTCTTAATTAATTATAATATTTAAATATGTCTTTATAATTATTTTATATTTGTTTAACAGCAGCGAGTGAGCTACGCAGTGTTGACGGTTCTTTTTAATTTATCTTTCTAATATTTTCCCCAAAATACCTGTTTATTTGGTCAGTACGGCAACGCCGCTAACTTCTGTTTTCTGATGTCATTTCTGGATTGTCAATCGTCAAATATTTGGAGGTTTATTTTGGTCGATGATTGTTCTTTTCAGGTGGGGATTACCAGTTTAATTTTTGGATGCTATTGAATAATTTTATAATTTTTTACAAAGATTTGCCTGAACCAAAATAGTATAAATTTGTTTTTTTGTGTGCCATGTGGCCAGATATTGGATAAGTTCTCTTATTCACGTTTTTTACCTTTTCAATTCTGATTCTTAATAATTTTCATTAGATTTGGACAATTTTGGAATGGATCCACTAACTTTTTTAATTGTCGATGGTAGCTGGATGAATGAGGAAGATGCATATATTTTATTTTTCGCCAGAAACTGTTCAATTTATTAGAATAAATATGTGTAAATGCAAAAAAAAATCTTGAAAGCAATAACCACAATTTTATAAAACGGGCCATTAAAATACTATGGATAACGCAAACGACGCCGCCTCGCAAATTGAAACGATATTCTATTGGTCTGACGTCACCCGCCGTTCTCGTTGACGCGCGATGGCCAGCAGCAGCCAGACGTGTTCCGTTTATGTGCGTATTTAGGTGGCGTACTAAGACATTTTTGTTGCTTTTAGCGTTGATTGAAGGAGCTTTTTTGTGCAGTTATTATTTGTATGTGTTGTGTGTTCTGAGAATTTTTTAAGTAATGGCAGATTCCTGGTTTGTAAAAGCACAATCAGATAAATTGCCAAAAGTCGATGCTTTTATGTTGGCTGCTTTTATAAATACAAATTCCCAATTTATTGGTGCTGAATTACTAGGAAAAAAACAGAGAGGTATGTAACATTTATTCTTTGTAGTACTGAGGCATATTTAAGTATAAGTAGGTACCTACTGTTACGAACTTTTATATAGTTATAAATATTAATGTTATAAACTTATTTTTCAGATCAGGTAGGGAGACGTATGGAGATAATGCTGTAGGTTATGTAGAAGTGAAAAGAGACAAAAATATTTGTTTAGTACGTGGAAAAATAACTCCAGAGCATAGCGTGAAAAAGAAAGTTTTTTTTTATATATTGACACCCCCTTACCCTTGTTATTTTTAAAGATTGTTTTTTTACGAAATTATAGGAAATAAATTGTTTATCAGTAATGAAAATATTATACAAGGTGTCCCATAAGCAAACGCCAAAATTAAGTTATTTTAAGTGAAACACCCTATATATTTTTGGATTCTTCGGAAATTTCTAGATATTCTAGAAATATTTCATGTATAATATCCTATACCTATCTTCAAATGTCTACGAAATATTGACAGTTGAAAAGCGAAAAATACCTACAATTTTCTGGACCACCTTTTTTAAGTTACCCTGTTATACACCTGTATAACTAGAATTAATTTTAAAAGAGAGTATATGAAAAACCATGCAACTTTTTTATTCAATGTTTTCTTCTAAAACTTGCAGTTAAGGCTGTATGTGGGTGTCAAAATATAATGAATAACCCTGTGCATTCAAATTTCATATACCTATGTAAGACAATATACATAAATATATGAATTTACATCAAAATGATCTTCACAACAATAAATCGTAAAAATAGAGAATAATTTAACGTTTTTCTTTTCATCTCTTCTCATGGCCTTGGACCATTTTTTTTTCTGTTTTCGCTCAACCATTACTATTTATAAATATCACTAATTACTAATTATGTATTAATTAACACAAATAACTAAAATTTTGACTCGGATTCAACAGCGTTTAAAAGCAAACTGTGTAAAATAAACACGCGTCTGGCTCCACTCAACCAGAAGAACGGCGGGTGACGTCACAGCGGCAAGGCGCGGTAGAGAGCGTTTACCCGGCCATTTAAATTAACAATATTTAATTATTTTATATTAGAGGCATTTCTTAACCGATTTCAACGATTTTTTTTTGTTCAATTTGTAATTATAGGTATAAACTATTTTTTAAAACCATTATTTAAAAACATGCATTTTCCTAATTGCTAGTTACGCTTTGGGGTAAGGTATCATAAGTTAAAATCCACAAATATTAATTTAAAAATTGTCCACAGGGTTTTGGTTATTTCTTTCTCGTTTTTACTTTTCCTGGTTTTCCTTCCTTGCTTTGATGGTTTTATTTTTTTACATTCACGTGCACGTGATCACATGGTGTCGAGACATCCACCCTGTTTTCCAACTCAACAAAGATTTGTGGCCTTGCTGATGCAACTGTAGTTCCTGGAGTTCATCCTGTTCAGCCCTCCTCGACATTGCCGTGCTCGGCTGCTGCTGTTGGATAAGTTACCCAGGCTTGTATACTTTTATTTTGGGGTACACTATAAAAAGGTATAGATAGTATAGTCTGATTAAATTTTATTAATTTTTTTATAAGTAGTTTTCAACATCTGTAAATTTCACTTAATTATATACTTTTCAATTTAATTATATACTTTAATTACAAATTTAAATAATATTTTAACCTCATTTTCAAAATTTAAACCTATTTCATTGTTTTTTTTTGGTAGTCATAAAACAAACGTATTTTATAACCAAACATTAATTTTAATTAATATATTTAGATTTAGTAGAGTAGAAACTTATTTGTTTTATTGCATGAATGAGGTTCCATCTTGGCAAATATCTTTTCCTAATAACAGTTTTCTGAATCTTTAATGTTATTTAACTATTAGGTAGATTCAGTGGCGCTCATTTGAGCACAAACCTTACTCACCCTATAATGCTCTCCAGGCGAACAGCACCGTCACCGTAATGTATTAATAAAATTTTATTTTATTATTATTTAGCGTTACATCGTTTTTACCCTTTGGGTACGGAACCCTAAAAACGATAAGCGTTACTTCCGTACTTAAAAGTGAGTACATTTACCAAAAGGAATAAGTGGCTCGGGCAGAAAAATATAATTAACAAGGGATGTCGATGAAACTATTCTCTTGTAAATTTATTATATGTTACATTATATTGATGTAAATAAATTATTAGTATTTATTTTGATTTTATATTATTACTCCAAATCCCTCCTGTTTTTTGAAGGTAGCTGGACTTGCTAGAAGATTGGAACGTCTAAATGAAATAGAACTAGAACTGAAAAATGAAAAGGGCAAATTTCACCCATTCCAATGTGACTTAACCAGCGAGCACGAAATCATTTCCAGTTTTAAGAAAATAACACAAACTCTGGGGCCCGTTCATGTTCTGATTAATAACGCTGGAGTAGCCCCAAGCGGGAATATTATAGATGGAGATATCAGCAAATGGAGACAGATAATAGGTAATATTTTGTGAATAAAACAAAGCAAAATAAAAAACACTAAATCACCACAATACACCAAAACACTTTTACTTTTACACTGGACGCGCGTTTCGCTAACCATGTTAGCATCATCAGCAGATGATTATAAACTAAAGTACAATCTACAAGTTGAGCGTTTATATACACGCTCAGTGGGCAACGAGTGGGGTGGCAAAATCTAGCCAACCGGAGTCAGAGCCAACTGAGCGTAACAGTTAGATTTCCGCCACTAGAGTAATAGGAACAAAGAACTTGGAAGGAATTGGACCAAGACTCTGTTCATACTATCTTTACATTTATTAATTCTGATGCTTTCATATGCATCTAATTTGCCTGTAATTTGAGACTTGTTTAATTAATTTTAAATTATTAAGATCTATACAATGTTCATTATCAACAATATGTGTTCGGCAACGCAAGATTTATCCGGTCTACCGTATCTTATCTGAGCTAAATGTTCTTTAAATCTAGTTAATATTGATCTTCTAGTTTGCCTAACATATTTCTGATTACAATCTTTACAAGAAATTTTTCATAAATACCCGACCTTCCAGTGGAGGTGTTTTATCTTTTGGATTACCTAATAATTGTTGTAATTTATTATTAGCACTATACACAAGTTTATAATTGACATTCTTAAAATTCCTTTTAGACCACGGGATAACTCTCTATCAAACGGTATCGAAAAAATATTTAGACGTATCTTTCTCCACTTGAAAAGTCGAATTTTCAGAAATCATTAACCTATACCTACGTTTTCTAATTAATTTATCAACTAGTGAAGGAGAATATCCATTACACACTTTTTTCTTACATTCCTAATGTAATCTCTTTCTATTTCATATCTTTCGTTGGAAAGTGGGAAACTAAGTAATCTATGAACTAAGAAATTTAAACTAGCCATTTTATGTTCAACACTATGATGTGATTCATTAGGAATATATCTGCGTGTGGTCGTATTTTTCCTATAGATATCAAATTCCAGGCAATTATTAGTATTTCTAATAACTAATACATCTAGAAATGGTAATCTGTCGCTGTTCTCAATTTCATGCGTAAATTTAATGGTTTTGACACACATTCAGACACCATAGATAATTTTATTTCTAAGTTAAATAATCGTTTTCCTTCCATTAAATTTACGCATGAAATTGAGAACAGCGACAGATTACCATTTCTAGATGTATTAGTTATTAGAAATACTAATAATTGCCTGGAATTTGATATCTATAGGAAAAATACGACCACACGCAGATATATTCCTAATGAATCACATCATAGTGTTGAACATAAAATGCTAGTTTAAATTTCTTGGTTCATAGATTACTTAGTTTCCCACTTTCCAAACGAAAGATATGAAATAGAAAGAGATTACATTAGAATGTAGCTGAGTGTAATGGATATTCTCCTTCCACTAGTTGATAAATTAATTAGAAAACGTAGGTATAGTAGTTAATGATTTCTGAAAATTCGACTTTTCAAGTGGAGAAAGATACGTCTAAATATTTTTCGATACCGTTTGGATAGAGAGTTATCCCGTGGTCTAAAAGGAATTTTAAGAATGTCAATTATAAACTTGTGTGTATAGTGCTAATAATAAATTACAACAATTATTAGGTAATCCAATAGATAAAACACCTCCAGCTGGAAAGGTCGAATTATTTATGAAATTTCTTGTAAAGATTGTAATCAGAAATATGTTGGGCAAACTAGAAGATCAATATTAACTAGATTTAAAGAACATTTAGCTCAGATAAGATACGGTAGACGGATAAATCTTGCGTTGCCGAACATATTGTTGATAATGAACATTGTATAGATCTTAATAATTTGCAAAAATTAATTAAAACAAGTCTCAAATTATGAGGCAATTAGATGCATATGAAAGCATCAGAATTAATAAATGTAAAGATAGTATGAACAGAGTCAACGGTCCAATTCCTTCGCCAAGTTCTTTGTTCCTATTACTCTAGTGGCGAAATCTAACTGTTACGCTCAGTTGGCTCTGACTCGGTTGGCTAGATTTTGCCACGCCCACTCGTTGCCCACTGAGCGTGTATATAAACGCTCAACTTGTAGATTGTACTTTAGTTTATAATCATCTGCTGATGATGCTAACATGGTTAGCGAAACGCGCGTCCAGTGTAAAAGTAAAAGTGTTTTGGTGTATTGTGGTGATTTAGTGTTTTTTATTTTGCTGTGTAACACCAAAGGTTCCAACCCTCAACTGTAATAAAACAAACTCAATTCAGCAACAAACAAATTCAAGCTCCATAATAGCTATTCGCTGATGCGGTTCTATAGTTCAAATCATATAATATTTTAGTCTTGTGATTAAGCTTGACCGGCACAGCCTTGCCCACTTTTACATATTTTCTTTTAATCATATTAATTTAGGAAACAAAAATAAATTAATTATAAAAAATATATAAACAGTTATTATATATTAGTATAGTATTAGTATATTATAATACAAAGACTAAACAACATGTGTAGAGTCTATGGCCTGAAAATTAACTTTAAGAAAACTAAATTTATGATAATCACTAAGAGAGAAGATGTCCAAGCCAATGTTCTAATAGATGATACACCTATGGAGAGAGTACAAAAATATAAATCTCTAGGCAGTTGGTTGACCGAAAACTTGGATCAATCAGCAGAAATAAAAGCTCGAATAGAAATAGCAAGAATCCTTTGTAAAACTCAAAAAATATTTCTGCAGTGGAGACATCAACTTAAAGCATAGATTAAGAATGCTAGGGGGTTACATATTTGCAACTCTACTCTATGGTTCAGAGGCTTGGACACTTAAAAAGGCCGAAATGGAGAAGTTTGAGGCATTCGAAAGATGGTGTTATCGGCGTATGCTGAGGATTGCATGGACTGACAAGGTTACAAATGTAGAACTGCGACGCAGAATTCATAAGGACGAAGACGTGATTAACACCCTTAAAAAGAGAAAGCTTGAGTACTTTGGACACATAATGAGAGAACCTAAATGTGCCCTGCTGCAGAACATAATAGAAGGAAAGATAAAGGGCAGAACGAGCCAAGGAAGAAGAAGAACATCATGGCTCAAGAATTTCAGAGAATGGTTTGGAATGATTTCAAACCAGTTATTCAGAGCAGCCGTTAAGAAAGTTAGAATTGCCATGATGATTTCCAACCTCCATTAGGAGATGGAACTCGAAGAAGAAACTGTTTATTATTTAGAAAGAAAAAAAAAGAAAATTTTTATTATTTTCGCCTTCGATTACGTAAATAAACGTTCAATTTTTATCGCTTATATATGACTATATTTATTATTGTTTAGCGGAACCAAAAGCTTACCTACATTAATTTACTATGAAATATTTTTGTTATATTTTCTAGATACCAACATTTTAGCGCTATGCATTGCTACTAGAGAAGCTATATCCAGCATGCAAGCTAACAATATCAAAGGACACATCATCCATGTAAACAGTGTAGCAGGTCACGAACCTTTGGACATTCCATCAGGCCTATCTATATATGGGGCATCAAAATATGCCGTTACGGCTCTTACAGAAAGTTTGAGAAGAGAAATCAATAGGAACAAGCTACCAATTAAAATAACGGCAAGTGTTTACATATAAAAAAAGTTTGAATAGTGCTATTATTCAACAAAAATTTATTTTTATATTGGCACTTAAAAGTCTTACCATAATCATCATGATCATCATTTCCAGCTTATTTAATCATTTCCAATTATGGTGTAGCCTTCCTCACATATTTAGATATTTGTATTGAAATTGGGCCCATTTATAGTCTATTGTTGACTATACGGGTCCAAGTTATTCCTGCTGAATTCCTAAATCATGGTCCCATCATAGTTTTGGTATTCTTCTAGGTCTCGTAATTCCTCGTACTCACGAGGAATTCTGTATTTTTTGTGGTTCATCTGTCTAGGCATGAAGTCAACCTTGAGGATATCACGTCTCCCTGTCATACTTCTTTGCCAGTTGGGAACTCTGGGGTTGTTTTGGTTTGGTTTGGTTTGGTTTGGTGGGGTCATAAATATGCGCCTTTCAGATTTTTGAAAAAGTTCATGGCTTACTAGACATTTAGAAAAAAACAAATTTCGGCTATTTTAAAAATTGTCCCTAATTCCATTATAACCTATTTTAGACAAAAAGTTTTCAGATAAAAGTTGTAGATAATCACATCCTTAATGAGACTGTGTCCTCCGTTTTTTTCTAAAGCTTGTCATTTTTGACATATGACACAAACATATGTTTTTTTAAATGGAAACCATAGTTGGCCATGACTTCATAAAAAGCGCCATTTTGTAAGCTTTTCAGCGATATAAGATATAATATGTTTTCTTCGAAAAATTACTGAGTTATAGCCAATTTTTATCATTTTTAAACAATTTTACTTAGTTAGCCATGAAAACAAGTTTAATCGTCCTTGCTCTCAGAAATGTGAAGCTGTCACATCCAAACTTTGTAAATTAAAATAAACAAAAATTGTTAATATGAATTTTTCGAATGAAGAAAAGCGTGTAGGATTATTGGTTCAACTTTTTTTGGCCATACATTTTCGAGGATACGTTCACCGGTGAATGTTACGTTTTTTAGAGAACGGTTTTTAAGACATGTTAGAAAAGTTAAATTTAGTTATAGCCAATTTTTATCTTTCTTGACTAATTTCACTTAGATTGCATCGTATTCTTATTCTGTTATGATTTGTAACTTATAAAAAGTCAGAATATATTATTAAACGGTTCTTTACAATTTACATTACGCAAACTAAAACTTAAAAAATAATATCACTACATTCACTTTAAGTTATTTTAGAAAATGTTCAAAAAATCCGCCATTGTTTTAAGTTGCATCTTTTTAAAACTGAATTACTACCTATTCTCATAGAAGGACCGGTCGACTTAATTAAACTTTTCTCGTACCTCAACTTCTAGTGCCGCTCTTAATTCATATGTTCTTTTGTAAACCTTATTGTTACCTATACCGCATAAAAAATTCTAAAATGGATAGGTCAGGTGATCGAGGAGGCCCATACAATTAGTCCACCTCTTCCTATCCCTGCGTTTGTATAATTATGATATAAATAATTTTTAACATTTCTCTCGTTATGGGGGCTGGGGGGTGATGTGTCATAATGAAAGTCATGTTGGAACCACTCTATTGATGCGGGATGGTGTGTCATAATGAAAGTCATGTTGGAACCACTCTATTGATGGGCGAGTATCTACACGCTTTTCTTCATTTGAAAAATTCATATTTACAATTTTTGTTTATTTTAATTTAGAAAGTTTGGGTGTGACAGCTTCACATTTCTGAGAGCAACGGCGATCGAACTTGTTTCCATGGCTCACTAAGTGAATTTGTTTAGAAATTATAAGAATTGGCTATAACTCAGTAATTTTTTGAAGAAAAGATATTATAGCTTATATCACTAAAAAGCTTAAAAAATGGCGCTTTTTATCAAGTCATGGCCAACTATGGTTTCCATTAAAAAAAACCTAAGTTTGTGTCATATGTCAAAAATGACAAGCTTTAGAAAAAAACGGAGGACACTATCTCATTAAGGATGTGATTATCTACAACTTTTATCTGAAAACTTTTTGTCTAAAATAGCTTATAATGGAATTAGGGACAATTTTTAAAATAGCCGAAATTTGTTTTTTTCCAAATATCTAGTAAGCCATGAACTTTTTCAAAAATTTGAAACGTGCATATTTATGACCCCACAAAACTGCAATTCTTTCCCCATTTTACCGACTCTGTATCTCCAGTAGTTTCCGAGATACCCATGGAGAACATCACAGGAAACTCACCCTGTATATTCTTGCTTTAGCTTCTTTGTATACAAGGTTGTTCAGCAAATACGACAACGGAGTATTGTAGCTAAATGATTGGATTTTTACAAATTGTAAGTTTTGGGTTCTTTGAAAGACTATTATTTATTTAAACATATTTTTACACGATACAGAATGTCCCAAATAAATAAAAAATATCAAAGTTCTATTTTTTTAAATGGAACACCCTGTATATTATTACATTTTTAGTTTCTACTATTAAAATAAAGGTAAATTTGATTAAGGTTTAGCATATTTAAACCTTACCGTTTTTGAAATATTTTCAATTTTGTGAAATTGCAGTAAAAATTTTAATGCTTCATTTCTCCGAGGGTATCAAAGTTTTTAATACTAAATATTTACTGAAGTTTATTTATTGATCAGTTATTGTGTTAATTATTGTTAATCTTTACGTTATCTCAGTGTTTTAATTATTAAAATAGTTTGGATGAAGCACGTGTTATCGTTCTCGATTTTTTATTAATATTATTGATTAATACCTATTACCGGCTAGCTCTACCGATCGAGATCGATAATCTACTTGTTTGAATTTTATAGGGAATAAAAAGGATCTTACCTAGAAAATAAAACCATTACGCTTGTATTGGACACCTGCTCGCCTCGAAAATTCCACCTTATTCTTTTTGTGACCGTGACCATCCCGTGACGACGTCTTTCGAAGCCGGTGAGCGACTCTCTTCTTCATAATCTTTTCTTTCGCATTGTTGCCACTTCCGGGGTTGCCAATTTTTGTATTTTAATTAGGGAGGTATCGATAACACCCCCCCTGCTAAGATGGAATTTTCGTGGTTTTTTCAAAATGTCGTTTTATTACTAAAGTTCCGAACAAAAATTTAGTAACATTAATTCCTTTTAACAACATAGTAACTATAAAATCAAAACAATTTACAATAAGACTTAGTCATAGAAATTCAAAAAAAAATACTTATAAACAAGTTCCTTATAACCGTTCAGTCTATAAAACAAGAATCTAGTCTATGCATATATCACTAAAATTTTAACTTTTCGTATATCCAGCGGCCTACTAAATTTTTTTTTTCTTTTCTTTACACAAGAAAACAAAATTCAGAAAGAATTCAAAGAAAATAATACAATTAAGGTAATTATTTACATGTCTTCGGACTTGTAACATAAAAATAATCAATCCTACAGTTTTTCAATCTGCAAGAATGTTATGAAATTAACATTCAATTAATCTTATCTAAGACTAAATAATAAAGATATTTCTATATCTAAAAACAAAGTTATACTAGTAACTTAGTGATATAAGTACAAGTTGGTATAACTAAACTGTTAATTACAAACATAATCGTTAAGGAAGATTGGTGCTTTACGAGTACGAGTAGTCAATTTAGGGTATTGATCAGGTAATATGCAGGTAGGCTTACTATCGTCAGAATTCCATGATGATACAGAGCTGTTGTCCGAACAAACTTCAATTTCAATGGAAGACCTGTCAAGATACTTCATGACGTTTTCAAGCTCCATATCGGGATTACTTGACTGGGGGCTTATTCCATATTCCCTGTTCTCTTCCTCTAACTCCTCTGAGCTGACAGAAGTAAATGATCCAACTTTTGGATTTTTCTGGAAACTGAGTAATCGTTCGGGAGGTATCGGTCTAATGTCATCAATATGAATTTTACAGTCTACACCATTCCTTGATACAAAGTAGACAGCCTCACTCAAGGGGCTAATGATAGTAAAGGGTCCTTCCCAGGCAGGATTAAAGGCTTCTCCAGGTTTTGTGGTCATGGATCGAACCAACACTTGGTCTCCAGACTGAAACGTTGGATGGCGTGACATGCCATTCGTGTATTTGCCTTGGTATGCTTCTTGGTTTTCCCTAGCCTTCTGCAAACGCTGTTCTCGCATGTGTCCTCTATTGATAACAGGTACTGCGAATTTGGGATGATCCCGTTCTCCTGGGGCACTAAGCGAATATCCCAGCAGACTCATAGCAGGGGATAGTCCTGTTGCAGCATTTGTTCGGTTCCTTAAACAAAATAAACAACGAGGCAGTCTCTTGTCCCAATTTTGTGTGTTTTTATTAAATAATTGAGCTTTTAAAACTTTTTTGATTTCTTGATTTCTACGCTCAACTGGGTTGGCACGTTGATGATATATTGGTGAAGTTACGTGATTAATATGATATTCTTTACAGAAATTTTTCCAATTTTCTGACATAAATTGTGTACCGTTATCGGATATAATGGTTTTAGGATAACCTAGTCTACAACATACTTCATTATTCAAAAAATGAATTATGTCTTTAGACCGAACAGTAGGTACTGGTTTAGCTTCAACCCAGCGAGTAAAGAGATCTTCTACAGTAATCAAAAAACGACAACCTGAACCCGTTTTCGGATAAGGTCCCATTATGTCGATACTAAAAATTTCTCCCGGATTAGTCGCAACATGAGCAGTCATCGTGGCTGATTGTTGTAAGTTCCTACCTTTGACACTTAGGCAAACTAAACAATTTTTTGTATATTTAGAAATGTCACTTCTCATTTCTGACCAATAATAATATTGATTAATAGTGTTAAACATTTCATCACGACCTGGATGACCTGCCCATGGCGAATCATGATAAAAATAAAGCACTCTTTCAATTACATTTGTAGGAACTATTACTTGACCTGTGTCCTGTTTAAAAAGTAAATCATCTTTAACTAAATAATTGTTCAATAACTGACGATCATTTGAAGAACAAGAAAGATTGCTTTGTAAAAAATT